CCCCTCCTCCTTCCTCTCTTATTAGTACATGTTGGTAATACAGAATAGTGAGGTTCATTTTGGGAATTGGTACCTGCATATAACCTATATTGATAATTTTTAATCCTTTTGCTCCCTTCTTTTCTTCCCTTCCATCCCCTTCCCTATCTCTTAAAGCCTACTTTTTAGTTTCCTGTCATCATTCATTCATATTTTAGGCTTCCCATAAGAGAAAATATGCAACATTTAACTTTATGAGTCTGGCTTATTTTGCTTAATGTGGTGGTCTCTATCCATTTTTCCTGCAAATGACAAGGATTTTATTTTTCTCTATGGCTGGATAATATTCACATTTTTCTTTATCCATGCTGTTGACAGGCATCAAGGCTGTTTCCACAGCCTAACTATCGTGACTTCCACTGCTACAAATATGATTGTGCATGTATTGCTGTGATAGCCTTTCTTAATCTAACACATTTTAATTTTTTCATCTCACAGCTCTTACTGGTTCTTCTATCTGAAATACATCTTCCTCTTATTATCATCTATCTCAGCATCATATTTAATTCCTTGATGCCTTTACCATAAGTGATATTTACTGTGTGTCTCTTACATTGATCTGTATTTCTCTGGAGTGAAAAGTACTCTGTCTTCCCCATTTCAGCTGTGATACACAGCCCAGTAGCTCTTAGCTTAGCTGTTTTGTAGAATCAATCAGTATTGGTAGAAAATTTTAGTAGTTATACAATTTATCTTTTCAGTATTTTACTGTTCTTGGCAAAACTGAGGATAAATATTATTTCTTGCAAAGAATATTTCTCTTTCCACCTTTCTACTTTTTTAAAGGAGGTCAAGATTCAGAATTTCTCATAGAAACTACATATTCTTTTTTTTAATTAATTTTATTGGTACATTTTAGGTATACAATTCGTTTACATTTATCATTGGGTGCTTGTACCTGTACATGATGTATCTTGGTTCCTATTTCTTTTCCCCCATTACCTGTGCACCCTTCACCCCCTCCGCCCTTACCTATTTACATAGATTTCATTTCCATTTTTTTTTCTTTTCTCATAGTTTTTCCTTTCCCTCTTTTCCTTTCTCCTTCCCCTCCCTTCACTCCTTCATCTTTGGACCTTTTTTTCTATTTCAAAATATCAATTATTCATTTTAATCGTTTTAACCTTTGTTTACACTATCAGTTTCTCACACTAGTGAAACTATTCGGTATTTACACGTGTGTCCTATTTATTTCACTTAAGGGTATGGCCTCCATATGCATCCATTTAGCTATAAATGACTCTAGTTTTTCATTCTTTATGGCTGAGTAGTACTCCATTTTATTAAAAACCCACATTTTCTTTATCCAGTTTCCAGTTGATGGGCACTTGGACTGGTTCCAAGCTTTAGCTATTACAAACTGTGCCATTATGAACATGGGTACATGTATATCACTGTGGTATGATTCTTTTAATTCTTTTGGGAAGATACCCAGCAGGGGAATAGCTGGGTCATATGAGACCTCTAGTCCTAGTTTTTTGAGGTATCTCTCTACTGACTTCCACAGTAGCTGCACCAGTCTGCACTCCCACCAACAATGGAGAAGGGAGTGCATTGTTGGTGAAACTATATATTCTTAATGCTTTCAAAAGCTCTTAACACGTAAAACACATAATGTTTTTTTAAAACAATACAGTTTTTTGTACTAATTTTTGTAAAATGCTATAGTGGCAAATTGAAATAGTTTGCCATGCCCAAGTGTCATACAACCAGGAAATTTTCAGTGGTTCAAATATAGAAACAAGGTAAAGCCATTCCACAGTTATCTAGTAAGTAGATACTGAGTCACTATTTTTATTTTTCTTAATGATGAAGAGAACTTGTAGGTGAAGTACAGTGGTATCTCAGTTTATGAACTTAATTTGTTTTACAATTTTGTGTTTGTGTTTGTGTGGGAAAGATGGCTGTGGTCATGTTTGTCACCTGATGTTGAGTTTGTGAAAGGAAACAAAATTATACCAAATATATTTGTTTGCAAACTGAATTGTTTACAAACAGAAGTGTTTATGAACCAAAGTATTACTGTATTCCCTTATTTTTGCCCTTTAGTTTTTGCTGTAATTTACTTTTTATGTAATTTAAGGCTGATGGAGGTAAAATGCTTTCAGCCTGGTACACAATCATCTAGGATTTATTCAAAGGGTAAAATATCTTTCTTCTTGATCCATTTAAACAGCTTCATTTAGACAACTGGGAGAAAGTAAAGCTTCAGTCTATGTACAGATGCGAGGAAAATATGGTTTTGTTTTCCTAGAGTATATTAAAATAATTCGTTGGATTACTCTACACCTCGATGATGGAAATTGTGTTTAAGTCATAGGTAAAAACATTCTGAGTTGAATGATCTTTTATCCAACCCCCTCTCTTCCTATCTCTTCCCTCTTCCTTCCTTCTATCCTTTGTTCTCTCCTCAAATCACAGTCTGTGGGTGTTTTTGATATTGCAAACATAGTGTAGAAGAAAACATCATAGCTGTCTGTTTGCTGCCAACATTGTGATGGGGAAGTAGACAGCAGAGAAGTATACGTGGTAGTGATAAGTTTTGGTGGTGTAAGTATTGTAAACAAAGAGAGGTGTGTGTGTGTGTGTGTGTGTGTGTGAGAGAGAGAGAGAGAGAGAGAGAGAGAGAGAGAGAGAATGAATATGGGTGAGAGATAAGAGAGTGAGAGAGAGCATAAGACTATTCATAAAGGCCTCATTAAGGAAAGGAAGATTAAGCAGAAGTGACCGAGCCCAGCAGATCCGGGAGATAAGTGGGGGAATAGCAGGTAAGAAACTCAGAGAAAGGAAAGAGCTTGGGGTTAGAGGAACTAGAGTGTGCCCCAAGGAAAATGATGAGCCCAGCGAGAGCAGTCAAAAGCAAGGGGTCCATTGTGCCGTTCTTTCATTCTGTCATTTAGATGTTTCAAGAACATCTCTGATATGTTGAGAATACATAAGTCCAAATTCTCATTTCAATTTCTTCTAAACATAGAAAAAGAAATACATGAAACAAAACCTGACAACACTGGAAGAAAGGTGAACACATCCACCATTACAGATGGAGATTTCAACACTTCTCAGCTGGGCCAGGGAAATGAGTAGTCAGACATCTAGTAAGAGCACAGGGGATGGGTAAGGGTTGACTTCTTACTCTTCAAGGAAATTTGCACCCTTCAAGAGCAGAACAATGCAGGTCTAAAATCAAACTTCAGTAAATTTAAAAGCATTGACATCATACTGAGTATGTTCCCTGACTGTAACAGAGTTAAGTAGAAATCAATATCTGAAAAATACCTGAGGAATACCCCAAATATTCAGAAGTTAAACTGCTCACTTATGAATGACTCATGTGTCAAAGAATAACAAAGGAAATTAGAAATTACTTTGAAATAAGTAAAAATGAAAAGATAACCAAAATATTAACTGGGTATGGTGGCCCATGCCTGTAATCCCAGCACTCTGGGAGGCTGAGGCAGGAGGATCAGAAGTTTGACCCCAGCCTGGGCAAATTTGTGACTTAGTGAGACTCTGACTCAAGATTTTAAAAAGGGGGTTTGTGGATGTAGCTCACTGCAAAGTCCCTGGTTTCAATCCCCAGTACCAAATATATGAACACACAAACAAAACACTGAGACGTAAATTAGGAGCCTCTGTCACCTCTGTGCCCCTGCTCCCTTCCTCTGTCAACTCACTGCAGCTTCTCAGTGAGATTAGTTAAGCAGGGTGCTCCAAGCTGCATCTACCCCAAGAGCACCCTGGCCTTGACGATTTCACTGAATATCTGAATTGTTTTCTTCAGTTCAGATGAATGCACAATGACCATTCACAAAGGTCATGTTCCTAGAACTGTAGAAGGGAATTCATGCGCAGCAAGTTGAGGGTTCCCATGCTAACATTAATGAAAGCTTGTCACAGTTGCTTCCTTTTTCTCATACTGTACCTGAGGAATTCTCATACATCTCCCTACAGGTTAGACTTTTTGTAACTCTTTCTTCAGTGTTCTTCTTTGATTTCTGTTTCTATTAACAGTCCTTTAACTGCCTTGACTTCTTAGAGTTTTGCAGTCTTCGTCTGTCTCTATGCAGATTCTGGTATTGACTTATTCTGTTCATTCATTTAGGCCTGATATGTGGGACATTTTGCTGAACACTAGGCTTGCAAAGTGTGGGAAACTTAACCAGATGATTAAAGAGTGGTGAATATTTAGACAGAGGGACGTTGGAGGAGCTGTGGGACCAAATATTCATTCAACAAACATTTAATTGACCTCATGTACCATGCATTGTATAATTGTGTCTGTCTTGTCAAAGTTGACTTTACAGGAAAGGTGGCTCTTGGATCCCATTGTAAAGGCTGAGTTAGGTGTTGTTAAGCTGTAGAGGAGGGGTTGGTGTTCCAGGGGCAGGATATTTTCTCTGGGTGAGGCATTGTGTCATGAAAAAGCAAAGAAGGATGTGGGAATGGGCAGTCTGCCCTGGTTGAGGCATTTGATGGTGTGCTAAGTAGTGAGGGCCAGGAGAAGGAGCTGGAAAAGGTCATGAACATTTCTCTGCTTAGGGAGCTCAACCCTGCTTCCTCAGGCACCGTGTCAGCTCAGAGCACCACTCACCAGCCCTTCCACATTCTCAGTCCTCCTTCTCCTTTGGTCATTATGGTTTGGTTGTCATTTACTTCCCTGACCAAGGGCTCCACGTGGTGGTGACCATGACCAAGTGCTGCTGATGGTACGTTCTCAAAACAGAGAAAGCCTGTGAGCAGAGAAGGGACCCTAAGCTTCTGGGAGCCAGAGTATGGTCCTCTCTTGCTTGGAGCCATTAGGTTTCATTGGCCTCTTGAAATCCTGGTTTTTGTTTTATGTATAGATTTTAAAGGCAGGGGAGGGAGAGGTTGAGGTATAAACTCATTGATTTTGAAGACACCCTATGGGGTAAAATTACAATTTATTGCCCATCCTGAATTTTTTTATTCTTTCCCTTTAGGTTTCTTGCTATTTAAAGATTTTTGTTTGAATGAAATTAATGAAGCTGTACCTCAGGTGAAGTTTTATGAAGAGGTAAGAAGTAACTTTTCCTGATGCTTTTATTTCAAAAAGCATATTCTAACTTTGGTTTGGGAAATATTAAGACTACAAAACATCTTCCATATATTTAGAAACTCATTAAAAGTAATTAGTAGTGCAAAATATAATACGTAATTTATCTGAAATGCTGACAACAGCTGCGAAGGACCAGGCATGTTATTAAAACCATGTTCCTAAGGGCTTTGGCATACAGTGGGAGCAATGAGGAATTGTTGAGCTGAATTTCCAGAGATAGGGGATCCTTCAGAAATGCACTGAGGATTATGAGCCACTTTATCTCCTTTGAAGGGTTATTCTGGAGATGTGAACCACAGCCCAGGGCTGCCACTGGGTCTGAGAGAGAAGCTAGCAGAGATTTCTGATCATACTGGAGTAACAAACTGCAGGCAGGTTGAGGTGGGATGGGGTGGAGTGGAATCTCAAACACACAGCTGGTGAAATCTGAAGCTGGAGAGGGGCTGAAATGATAGGGCAGAAGTTTCTGGAAGGCAGAAAGTCAGCCATACAGAATTAAATGAGCTTAAGAACTACAAACCTACTGGGGACAGAAGTCTGAAAACAGAACAAGTGAGAGAGGATAGTCCTCGGGGAGTAGCCTGCTGATATTGAGGGTTGACAGCTGTTTGTTCACTGGACAGGCTGTTAACTCACAGTGCATTGGGTTGAAGGGAATTCAGGCACAAGAGAATTCAGGCGTGGCTCTGGGCAGGAAGTTGCTTCTGGGAGACAGACTAGAAGAGGTTTCTGGAACTAAACCAAAAAACAATGGAGCTGGGTGTTTTGGTGCACACATGTAATCCCAGCACTCTGGGAGGCTGAGGCAAGTTAAAGCCCAACCTGGAGTTGTGAGACCCTCTCACAAAATAAAAAATACAAAAAAAAAGTGGGTGGTGTAGCTCAGTGTAGAGGCCCCTAGGTTCAGCCCCAGTACTGCTAAATCAGTCTATCAAACAAACAGGACTGGATGGATTCCAGACAGGTGGTTAGTTTCATTCCCAAGACACATGCCAAGGTCTGAAGGTGAGTGGGATGGGACGACAAATAGCTAACCTGGAAACTTTTCCAGGGAAGAACTGAATCTAATGCTGAGGAGACAAAGATCTGTCATTGAGATCCACAGAGGGTTGTGATGTAGGAAAGGGGCAAACCAGAACTTGGCTGAGGCCTACAAAAAAACGACAACCCAGCCTGACTGGCACAGTCTTGTGTTGGGTGATGAGTCTCCTTCCCTCCGCCCAACACAAAATAAAGGGAGCCTGCTATGTCTTTTCTGTAGATACAAGATAACAATACATAAAGACTCTACAGTCTCAAGTACATAGCAGAAAATTATTAGACTTGCTATAAGGCAAGATGTCTGACTCCTAAGCATCGAGGAAGACCTTTCAGAGGAGCTGGGTACTGGAGGTAATTATCAAGTACCTTAAAATAACCACAAATAGTATGTTCAGTGAAAGATGGGAAAATAGATCTCAGCATAATTTGAATTTATTATGAAGAGTTGAATGGGCATTCTAGAACAGAAAGTACAGTATTTGAAGTCGGAACTTAATGGCTAGGTTTAATGCAGTTAGATAAAACACAAGATAAGATATAGGAAGCAGGTCAGTAGATAGCCTCAGACTGAAGCACAGAGAGAAAAAAATAGATAAGAATATTAAAGGTATACAAGGCATATTTAAAGGCCTAATACATGTAGAATTGGAGTTCCAAAAAGAGAAAAGAGCAAATAGGGCAGCAGCAGTATTTGAAGAGATAATTTTACAAAATGGTGAAAGACAGATACTTATAGATTCAAAACAGCTTAGAATCCATCCCTACTATTCATCACTAGACAAAATGAATACAAAGAACATGTGTCTTTGCATGTCAGTATAAAACTGCAGAAACTTAGAACAGAGAACATCTCAAGGGTGTCAAGGGAGCCACATTACTTTTAAAGGAGCAGCAGTTAGCTTGACTGTGATACTGAAGAGAAATGATGGGGTGGAGGCAGACAATGAAATGGCCATCTTTAAAGTCCTGAAAGAAAAATCTTCCAGCCTAAAATGTTATTCCCATTCAAATTTTCCTTTAAAAGTGGAAGAGAAATAGAGATGTTCAGACAAAACAACAACAACAACAAAAACCAAACAAATTTTTAAAAATGAGAGAATTGTCAGTAATGGACCTACATCACCAAGAAATGTAGCTGAGGTGCAGGGAGATGCTTCAGCCGGACAGGAAGTAGATCCTGATAGAGATGCAGGAAGGAAGGATGAGCAACGTGGGTGAATCTGTATATGAAATGTAAGTGAATGATGATGATGCAAAACAGTAGCACAGTGTTTCTAGAGTTTATAGTGTATGTAGTACCAAAATGCATGATACTCACACAAAAGGCAGGAGAGGACTCATGAAGATAACATAAAGTTCTAGGATTATTGGTGGGAGTAAAAAAGTAATCATTTGCATTAGATTGTACTCAGTATATCTAATAAGTTAAAAGAGAAAAGTAGGATAAAAACCCATTTGATTAATCAAGAAGAAGTAATAAAGGAATAAAAGTTGGTAGGTCAAATTGAAAAAGAAACAGAGTAAGATGGTAGCTTAAATCTAGTTACATTTAATGTAAATGGACTAAACACTCCAAAGTAAAAGACTTGAGTTTTTCAGACTGGATTAAGAAATGAAGTCCTATCATATACCACTTGTTGGAAAGATACAAGGAAGGAGGATAGATGATATATGCTGTAATATACAGAATGTATCCACACTAATCAGATGAACTACCTGGTTATGCTACTTTAAAATAAAAAGAGATATTCTTAATGATAAAAGGGTTGATCCAACAGCTCTCCCAGTCTTAAGTCTGTATGTTACAAATAACACAGCTTCAAAGTATATAATGCAAAAATAGGCAGATACAAAACAAATCCACAACGCTAGTAAGAAATATTAACATGCTCCCTTGAAGAGCTTAAAAAACCAAAATCTTTAGTAAATATAGAGCAGCTCTTAATAAGGTGATGAATAAACTTGACCTAATTTACATATATAGAAGCTACACCCAACAAAAGTAGATTTTACATTCTTTGAATTACATGCAGAATATTTTTCGAAAAAGATCGTGTTTGTTTCCTTTAGAAACTTATAAATTTCAAGATTGAAATTGCTCAGAGTATCTTTTCTGACCACAATAAAATTAAGCTCAAAGAAATCTTATGTGCCTGGAAATAAATACACCTTGAAATAATTATAGGTCAAAGGGGGTATTAAAATAGAAATTAGAAAATATTTTTAAATGTATTTAATAAATGACATAGGCTATTATTAACAAATGTGGTGTATTTTTGCCCTACATCCTTTAAATGATATAAAGAAAATGTAGCATAGTTATGCCTATAGTCTTTGTGTACATTTGAAAATTGAGTAATTCCTTTCTTTCCAGCTTTACAGAGAGATAGGAAAATGTCATGTTTTTCCATACTTTAAAAATTATATTAATTTATTTTCAGAAAGAGTAGTCAAATTATGATGTATATTTGGCATCATGTAAAAAAGTAATGTGAATCCAAAAAGATTTTTCTCAGTATAAAGCTAACCTTATTATTTGCATTTAAATCATAATCAGGCATTTTATCTTGAGAAGTATCACAGCTTGATCTGCCAAACATTTTTTTCTTTTCTGTGTTCCTAAAAGCTTCAACTCTTCAATTTCAGCATCTACTAAGTCACGTTGTCAAATGCTGAGAAATCTCCCTTAGCAGATAATTTCTACTGGGTAGAACAGATGACCAATCTATGTGGTAGCTTCTTATGTACTTCTTGTGAGCATGCTGGTAACTACTGTTGGTGTACTTTTTTCTGAACTTCAAGCACTGGTGTTTCTCTTTGTTGGCCTTCTTCCTACCTCCTCTTGCCTCTTTTCTGACTTGGCCCATGGTGGACCTGGCTTATCAAATAACTCCTTGGAAGGATGCTCCACTGCTCTTCAGCAGCTTGCTTTCTGTTCTTTGGAAGATGCCATCTGTCCTTGGGCTCACATGCAACTCTCAATGAACACAGCCCTGAAACATTAAAGTTCTCTGATTCTTCTTTGGCCCCTCACTGTAGTGGATTCTTCTTTAATTTCTGGTTGTTTTGGACCCCCATTATAGAAGATTCTGTTGTCTGGTGTCTTGAAGTGTACATTTTGTAATTATATTTCTACTTCCCATGTCCCCACTTGTCACAGTACATTCTTCCTCCTATGGATGAGAGTCCTAGTTACTTGTTGGTATACTTAGTTATCTCTAAATGACTTGTTGCCCCCCTTCCCTGTTTATCTCTCACTACCTCCAACATAGAACTTCCACTCCAGCCAGACCTAGCCAGCCAGCCTTCCCCGAACTTCTAGGCCCATTCTTGTTCTGTCACTGTATGATGTGGCATCCCCTTCCCACCCTGGGATCCTGCAGATCCTTCTGTCTGTTGAGAGCCAAGTTGCTTTTCAGGGCTGGGTCAGCAGGGAGGCTTTCAGGACCCTCTTCCATCTTGGTGTTCAAGCATGATGTGCATCCTCCTCTGACTCAGTTTGTGGTTTGTGCTGTCCTGTCCTGTGTACTCAGTACTTGGTTCTCCTGTGTATTATCAGTATTTTAATGTCACCCATTACTACACAGGTCAACAAAAGGCCTTGCTGAAACCCAGCTTCAGCCATGCCTCTCCCTTGCTGTGAAATACTGGCACGTCCCTCAGCCTCCCTGAACCCTCTGTCTGTTTCAGACTTCGTGAACTCAGAGATACCTTCCCTGCTCTTGAGGGGCCCACAGTATGCAGACTTGAGATCTGAACTCCACATCCCTCATGTATGGAATGAGGCTGATGTTTATCTCCTGCCTGCCTACTTACAGAGGCTCAGACCAGACAATGAATAGTTAGTGTTGACTGTAACGTGTCTGTGATGTGCTGTGCAGACACAGGGGAGCCACATGACACAGGGGTCAAAGATT